GGAGTGATTTCTCACTTTCTGTCTCTTTGTCTCTCTCTGTCTGTCTGGTGAGCTCACGCGCCCTATAGCAAAAATCTCTCGGAAAAAAAAAGAAAGGCAAAAAACCATTTAAATCTCATTCAGACTAAAAGGTGAAAGTGTGATATTATTGGACCAATTTTTGTCCTGGAGGGCCAGGAGGCTGTTGAGACTGAAGAACTGAACTGTTGTCACACTGGGGGAGGTGGGTTATGTTTCCGTGGAGGAAACTGCCCTGACTTTACAGTTTTGTCCAAGGCCAGCCCTGAGAGCCCTCATCTGTCTGACAGATAACTGGAAGCCACACAGAAGGGCTGGGCAATGTCCAGTAAGTGGCCTTGAGGAGGTCTCGGTGCTCACTATTTGTAGGAGGAATTATCAGTAACAGAGTGGCCAGCATCATCACACTTACCTTCTGTACCATCTTATTGATGTCCTTGTATTTTATGAGAAGGTCTTAAAAATGACAAATGCGTATTGTGAAAAAACTATGCATCGGTATCTAAATTCTTTTGCACCAAAGTAAACTTGTTCTTTATTTTCATTTTTTCCATGACCTTTTCCAAATCCCCTGATAGATGAGTAAAAGCTGAAACTCAAAGAGGTAAAATGGCTACCTATAGTCAAGATTTCCATTCTTGATTCATTGGCCAGCCAATTTGTTCTTTTACCACACTGTCTCCCTATATTATTAAAGACCTTTTCAACTCCAAAAGGCCAGCTCAAGTTGGACTAAACAAAAATTTCAACAAGGAACTTACAGCCCCATTTTGCTAAAAATGCCTAGGGTGCTGGACTTCAGGGATGGTTTGATCCAGGTGTACAGACAGTATCATTACTAATCTTTTTTTTCCACCTCTTGTTCCTTGTTGCTTCTTTCTCAGATGGGCTCCTTTACCATCCTTCTAGGTCTTATCAATCTCAGCAGAAAAAAATAGGCACATTCTTTTTTTCCAGTAATGTAAGCAGAAGTCCTACAGTTAACGCTCACTGGCTCTGATTGGCCTCACTTAAGTTTTGTACTGATCCCTGAATCGTTGTTGCAATCTGGAGGATGTGAGTCTCAAGTCTAGTCCTGAAGCCGCATGGTCAGAGGACAGGAAATGAATGCTCCCCCAAGAGAAATCATGATACTGTGCCCAGAGGACAGGCCAGAAGACATGGGAAGCAAAAACAGCAGGTGTCCACACTGCTCTTTGGCCAGTCTGTCTCTGAAGCTGTCTTATTTTCTTACCTTCAGATGTGTCACCTCCTGGTTTGGGTTTTCCTGGTTTAGGTGTTTTCTCTCTCTCTCTCTCTCTCTCTCTCTCTCTCTCTCTCTCTTTCTCTCTCCCTCTCTCTCCTGGTTAGCAAAGAAATGTCTAAAACATTTCTGCTCTTCCCCCTCACTGTCATCTGGCCACACTTGCCCTCCAACCCTGGGCTATGGAACTTTCACGGCCTCCTCATATCATTCCCTCCATTAAAGGAGAAGACCACCTCTGACCCACGATTAGCCTTGAAGCCCCACTGCTTTCCAGGGCCCCCCCTTTTATGGAATTTTTTCTCTTCTGCTTTCCTGTTGTTCTTCCCCCGTCCTGACTGCTGAATCCTTTTAAACTATTTTTCACCAATCTCCCAATCTAATCAACGGAGTGTCTGGCAAGCCCTTATCCATCATCGCTGAACATTAACTCTCTCTTGAGTATCTAGCGTTAGCCTTATTTGCATAGGATAACACAGTGTAGTGCTTAAATACATTTTCTGGTATTTTATAGTTTGTATCTCATTTGTTCTTCACATTAATCCTGTGAATTAGGCAATGGCCCCATTTGCAAAATGAAAAACCAACTCAGAGAGCGTAAGTGAAGGAGAGCCCGAGGGTAGGTCGTAGGGACCTAAGGGTGGTGCTGGGCAGCGGCAGGTGCAGGGCACAAATGCCAAGGCCAGTGTGCTTCCATTTAAACCACACAGATGCGGAACGAGGACCTAAGCTGAAATCAGGGTCTTCAATCAGGGACAATTTATCTCCCCGCCCCTCAGGGGACATTTGGTAAAGTCTGAAAACATTTTAACTGAATCCAGCCTAAAGGAGGTTGCCAGTCATGGACATCTACTGGGTGTCAGCATCTGCCCAAGACATAGCTCGCTCTAAGAGAAAGTAGAAAGAGACAAGGAGACAGAGTAGCAATGGACACAGGCGGCCTGAGCCTAGGGAGCCCAAGCAACTTGTGCTGCCCTGACAAACGGGGCACCTTTATTTATAGGGCAAGGCAACACTACATACGTGTATTTCATGACATGCCATAGATACGTTGATACGTTACAGGCAATAAGAAGCAGGTAACAAATCTGTAAGGGCTTAGACATACTGGGCTGAGTATATCCCTTAGCTACCTCCATTTCAAAGAGAAATCTTCATAACCTTCTTATCTAATGGAGAGAAGCCTAGCTGCAGGTGTGGGGAGGACACTTTCTTACAAACATCAAGGGGGTGTTGATAAGGCTAAAGAGTCTTACAGAGGCAGAGCAGGGGTTGGACTTTGCTAATTGGGGTTAGGATCATTCCTGAATTCCATCAGATGTATCTGTTGGAAGGCCCCTAGAAAATTCCACCCTTTGCTCTACCTCCAGTAAGGGTCAAGGAAAGGACAAGCTGCAAGGTTCTGTCATAGCCAAAAGGGACAAGTGATGTTTGCTCAGAGCATGTCCCCACATCCTCAGGGCCTCTCTCCGAATATGTCCTGACAACTGGGTATAAGTCAGGGGTGTGCTAAACATCCCATGGTGCTGGGGCAGTGTCCTTCCACCCCCTGACACACACACCACAGAGAATTACCCAGTCCAAGTGCCAGTAGTACCCAGGTTGAGAAACCCTGAGTTTCCAACCATCACTCTTAGTGGCTTTCCCTTCTGTCCTTGGCCACAGACAAACTAAATCAGCCATTGAATTACTTCCTTCTTGTCAAAGGGGGTCAGAAATATGCAGGCCTGGGGGCCAGCAGTTGGTGTAGTGGTCAAGGTGCTCGACCCCCACATGGTCAACCACAGTTCAAGTCCCAAAACCAGTGGTTTGAAAATCATGCCAGGCGCATGTGTATGTGTGCCCAAAATCTCAAGAGGAGAATGGAGAAGGACAGGTTGTGAAATAGCCATAACCCCTAGGGAATGATTTCTCACTGTCTCTCTCACTGTCCCTCTGTGGCTCTCTCTCTGCCAAGCACACTTGCCCTATGACAAAACCTTAAAAAAAAAAAAAAAGAAAGAAAGAAAGAAAGAAAGAAAGAAAGAAAGAAAGAAAGAAAGAAAGAAAGAAAGAAAGAAAGAAAGAAAAATATTCAGATCTGGCCACAAGGAGTCAAGGGAGAAGGACACCTCTTTATGACAGCCTTCTAATCATCACGTGACCAGAGGATTACAAGGATCTGACCTGTGCTCACCGTTACTGAGCAGAGAGACTGAGTGGATACATATGATAGGGCTGTGGGTACCAAAGAGAGTGGGTGCAGAAGGAAGGCGAGAGGAGAGAAGAATGTGAGTAATTATGACAGGAGAGCAACACAAAGCCCAAGTCCATGAGATACAGTAAGAGAAGAGCAAGAGGGGGCCAGCAGGTGGCACAATAGTGGTTAAAGGCACTGGACTCCCACATGGCCGACCGTGGTTCAAGTCCCAGACCTGGCGGCTTGCTTTCTCACCCTTTTTCTCTTTCTGCCTCACTCTGTCCCTCTCTGGTCAAATTTAAATAAATGAATAAAGTTAAATAAAGTAATTCTTAAACAGAGAGAAAGAGAGAGAGGAGGAAAGATGCAGGAGAAGTAACCAAGAACAAGAAGTGACAGGAGGAAGGAGCAGCATCCTCTTGCCAATGAAATGGAAGGTATTTGGACTTGGGTGAAATGAGAGGAGCATCCCAGGTCACGGAGGAGGGAGGATGGGCCTCCTGCTGCCTCTGCAAGCTTCAGGGAGTGTGATTTTAATGTCAGTCTAATTAAGTCAGAAGCAGTTCCCATTATTCACACTCTGCTCCAGCGGTTTCTGAGTCCACACGCTCTACTACACTCTGGAGAGGTTCAGCCGGTGGTGACTTCGGATCCATATTCACTGCAGGAGGGAGGGAGGGTGGCCTGGCTCTCAGCTGCTGGGGCAGACCAAGGCCAAGTCCTTCCTGGATGTGTCTTATCCTGCTCCCTCCAGGGTGTGTGAGTAAAGGGGCATTTGTAGATAAATTCGTGGGAGGCTGAGACACCCGGCAAAGAGCAGAAGTGCTAAGCCACAGGAACATTTCAAGTCTATTGACCATCCATCCAACTCATGGCCCAGTGAAGAGAAAAGGCCTTTTCAGTCACTATTTTTGTTTGTTTGTTTTTGGCCAGAGGATGAGTGTTTTGCCTGTGAGGAAAAGAAAGAGAGAGAAAGAGAAGGAATCCCCTCAAGGAGTGTGGTCATATTGCAATCCCTTCTCCATTTCTCCATCCTGTCAGGATTTGGGACACACACACAAGCATGCGCACACACACATGCCCTGTGTGTTTTCAAGCCACAAGGGGTCAGGATTCGAACAGCAATCAGCCATGCAGGATCCAGCTCCCTCTGTGCAGCTTAACTAGTGTACTGCTGAGTGGGCCTTCCAGTAGCTTTTTTTGGAGAGGTTTTTGCTTGCCAGAAAGACAGAGAGAAACAGAGAGATGGAAAGAAATCACCCCCTGGGGGGATGGTCATGCTGCAATCCCTTGTCCTCCATTCTCCTCTCGGAATCTTGGGCTCGCATGCACACACGCCCAGCCTGAGTTTAAGCCACCAGGTCCAGGACTTGAACCGCAGTTGACTACATGGGAGTCCAGAGACAAAGCCATTATGCCAACTACTGGTCCCTCCGGTAGTTTTTTGACATATGCAGCACACCTTGTCTGAGCCACCTAGGACACACAGGGTAAGGGCAGTACTAGGACTCAAATTCAGGTCTTATGCCAGACCCTTGCCATAGAAATAGAGAGACTTACCACTGAGCAGGTTCCTCTGGGGTTGCTTCAGTCCCGTGTCAGTGTTCGAGTAGGGAGGTTGGTCTCCCCAGCAACAAGACGCTCCAGAAGAGGACCAGCCTAGGGTACAATGAGATAGGAGTAGTAGGGGGTCGGCCCCAGCTCTGTAACTTACTATGTGACATGGAGGATGAGACCTCCTATCAGCAGATTAGACTGGGAATGCTTTCATGGAAATATTGGCCTTAAGGGGAGATTTTGTCAGGTGGAAGACTTGGGTCCAGTGAGGAAAGGAATTTTGAGTAAAAGGAACTACAAGGCAAACAGCTCCGGAGGTGTCCCTTTTGATTGGAATATGGCAGAATCACTGGAAGCAGGGCTGGCAGGGCCTGCTGAGGCCAGGGGAGCAGGGACTTCAGTGCTAACTTGAAAATTAGTGTTCAAGTTTCCTGTACTTGAAATTGTTGAAGGTTTTTGAAAAGCAAAGTGGGATGTGATCAGAGTTCTGAGTGGCAAATATGAGGGTGCAGGGATTTCCCCCTGAAAACACACTACTCGGTGCATGAGTATTGGTGTCCTTCCACCCAGGTGTTCCTTTACCTGAGGACAGGCTGGGCCAGTGCTGCCTCCTCCCCGAAGCCCTGTCTCTGCATGTACCAGCTCCTGAAATCAGACCCTAGTACAGGCTCCCTTGGTATTGAGACTGCGGATCCCCAGCCCCTAAGCTCCCTTCCCCTCCCTGTCTTCCTTTTGCTGCTTTGTTAACCCACACAGGGCATGCTCTCACAAGGTTCCAGTCCCTCTACCCTCCTCCATCCCACAGTCTCTCTCTCGCTCATCCCAGCTTGGATCACAGAATCCCATCCATAAAAGACAAATTTGGAGGTAAGCCACCTACTTTCAGCCACTTCTGGCAGGTGGGGATCCCTTCCCTGCTCCACTGAACATTAACTATTATTTCACTTTTACAAGGAGGTGAAGAATGTTCTGGAAGCTTTGGATAATGGCTGTCTTGAGTCCAGGGGATTCCCCTCATCTGTATAGCAGGGATGTCTCTTGATCATTGTGGCCACTTAGCTGGTCAGCCAAATATGACTCTGGAGGTAATAAAGCACCTCCTGCTTCTACTTCTTTGGCATCACATGTGTGTGCACACGCACTCCACCTATATCCACACACACACTCCACCTATATCCACACACACTCCACCTATGCATGTGCGCACATGCTCCACCTATGTGCACACATAATCCACCTATACACGTACACACTCTACCTACTACACCTATACATGTACATAAACACTCCACCTATACACACACACACACAGTCCACCTATACAAGCACACACGCTCCACCTATGTGCACACACAATCCACCTATACACGCACACACTCTGCCTACTACACCTATACATGCACACAAACACTCCACCTATACACACACATACAGTCCACCTATACACGCACACACACACTCCACCTATGCGCACGCCCACACTCTGCCTATACACGTACACACAGTCACCTATACACGCACACACATACACTCTACCTGTACATGCAGACACACTCCACCTACACATACACACACTTTGCCTAAACACACATGCACACTCCACCTATGTACGCACACACACACACACTCCAACTATACGCACACACACTCCACCTATATGCACACACACATGCTCCGCCTATACGCACACACTCCACCTGTGTGCATACACACACTCACCTATGCACGCATACAACACTCCACCTATATCCACACACACTCTGCCTATACGAGCACATGCTCTCTACCTATACATGCACACACACACCTATATCAGCATGCACACTCCACGTATGCGTGCCAACACATGCTACACTTATACACGCATACACACACCAATTATGTGCACACACACTCTCCACCTATACGCACACACTCTCTGCCTATACAGGCACAAACACTCCACGTATACTTGCACACACACTCCATCTATGTCACACACACATTCCACCTATACGCACACTCTCCACCTATACACGCACGCACACTCCATGTCCACACACACTCCACCTATATGCACACTCTCCACCTACAAATGCACACACACACTCCACCTGTGCATGCACACACTCCACCTATGCACACATCCACTCTACCTGCACAAACCCCTATGGCTCAAAAGAGGCCTCAGGTGTCACTCTGTTGGACCCACCAGCAGGGTTGCCAGCTTGTTGGTACCACGTGGAGGCATCAAAGAAAGAGAGCCATTTTCAGGTTGGAGATTCCCAGCCTCACCCACCTCTGAGCCCTGCAGTTCCTCCCCTAGTCTGAGAAAGCCTACAAGAGCGAGATCTACTCAGAGGACCCTGGCTTTCAGCTCCTGTTAGATAAATAGAATGGAAAAGGAAATAATGTTTCTCTGTGCACACAAAGTCATTTAAAAATGGATTCTCTTCTCCCTTCTATAATTTTCTCCCTTTTTTTTTTTAAATAGCAATTTCTCATTTAGTCAAAAATGATTTCACTGGAGAGGTGGTGATTAAATCTGATAATTAGGAGAAATACCAATTAAGTTAGGTTCTACAGGCAGAAGATAGTCTTCATTCACATTATTATTTGAGACTCTGGATGAGCTGGGGGCTTCTGTCTCTTCCCCATGCACTCACAGCCCATATGTTGAACAAGACTCAGGGATTTATCTCAGGCTGAGCCAACAGGGAAAGGAGCAGAGGGCTTTTCTCCCCAGCCCCACTCATCCTTGCAGTCTCTTCATGCTCATTACTCACTTCCTAGTTCTTTTTATTTATTTTATTATTATTAATTATTTTGGGGAGAGAGAGAGAGTTTCACTTTTAGAGCTCACCAGAGACACAGAAAGGGAGAAATCACCCCTCAGGGGAAGCTGGTGATACCGCAATCCCTTATCCTCGGTGCTCCTCTCAAGATTTTGAGCATGCAGGGACCAGCAGGTGGCATACTGGTTAAGGTGCTGGACTCCCAGATGGTTAGCTGTGGTTCAAGTCCCAGATCTGGTGGCTCGAAACTCACACCTGGTACATGTATGTGCATGCTCAAAATCTTGAGAGGAGCACCGAGGATAAGGGATTGCGGTATCACCAGCTTCCCCTGAGGGGTGATTTCTCCCTTTCTGTGTCTCTGGTGAGCTCTAAAAGTGAAACTCTCTCTCTCTGTCTCTCTCTGTCTATCTGGCGAGCACACGCACCCTATAGCAAAAACCTCTCAAAAAAAAAAAAAAAGATTTTGAGCATGCACATACATGTACCAGGTGTGAGTTTCGAGCCACCAGATCTGGGACTTGAACCACAGCTAACCATCTGGGAGTCCAGCACCTTAACCAGTATGCCACCTGCTGGCCCCACCTAGTTCTTTTTAAATATTCATTTAATTCTTCCATAAAAGAGAGAAACAGACAGGCACCTCCAACAGGGTTCACGTTTCAATCTACCCTCAGCCTCAGCCAGTCAGCATCACAGGCATGTGAGCCCACACCTAGTGTGTACAGAGAAACCCTGGGATATGAACCCAGGACCTTCCCATGTGGACCCAGCACCACAGAACATTGCAATACTACTGCCCTACTGTCTGGCCCCCTTCATATTTCATTAGAAGCCCCTCTGCCTTAAAGTCCCTCATCAGTCCAAGCTTCCCTCATATGTCCTATCTTGCCACCTCTGCTTAGTTCCCCTTGCCCCAACTCCTCCTCATATCTGACACCCAACCCTCAATCCCCTAGTCTGTTTCTTGAATCACTGGTTACTTATCGGCTAGGGTGTTGACAGATGTAATGTGCTATTATTTTACCTGAAAGTGAGTATCTTTCCCCAACACACCTCTGCACACCCATAGAACTTTCAGTGAACAGGGAGCTTCCATAAGTAATTACATAAACAGTTTCTGCGCATCTGTGTATCTCATGCATCAGGATTACAAGAGGGGAAATAAATGGCTTAAAATAACAGGGAGTTTAGCTGAAACAAAAAACATAGAAATGTTGAAAAAATAGGGCTCAAAAGTTGAGTCAGAGTCATTGGCAGGGACGGGAAGCTTTGGGCTGCCAGGCTGCAGAGTGTCTGCCTATTTTGGTGGGAGACAGGGAGTCGCTGGAGGGATATGGACAGAACTGAGCAGGTGATGGATTAACCTGGAGACAGCAGCAGGTTCAATTCATTAGGTGGGGCCACTGGTTCATTATAATAACCTGGGGAGCTTTTAAAACTCTCAGTTCTCAGGCTGAAGCCTGGACCAATTAAAGTGCCTGGAGTTGGGGGCCAGTCATTATTAATACTGTTCAAAGTGCCTCTCCACTGTATAGACGAACAGAGAACTCTGGCTTGAGCAATGATCTGCCTTCTGATCAGATGACCAACCATTCTGAGTCTGCCCAGGATTGAGAGGTCCTCTGGCCAGGAGACTTTCAGGGCTCACACCAGGAAAGCTCTCAGCAAGGTGAAATACATTGGTCACCTACTTGTAGTAGACTCCACAGAACTCTTTCTGGGTGAAAGTATCTTATCTACTGTTCACTTGTTGGTGTGTATTTATCAAACAGTATCAGCCTCACAGTCAGAGTTACCCAGGCTCCATTGCTCAGTAGCTATGGGACTGACTTCTCACCTAGTACTTCTCTCCTTTTCTTCTCTGCCTTCTTTCTTTCTTTCTTTCTTCTTTTCCTTTTCCTTTTCCTTTTTCTTTTTCTTTCTTCTTTCTTTCTTTCTTTCTTTCTTTCTTTCTTTCTTTCTTTCTTTCTTTCTTTCTTTCTCTCTCTCTCTCTCTCTCTCTCTCTCTCTCTCTCTCTCTCTCCTCTCTCTTTCTTCTTTCTTTTTTTATTTGCTAAAGAGGAGATGCACTAGCCAGAGAGAGACATAGAATTTTCCTTCATCTTCTTTTCTTTTCCCTTTTTATTTATTTATTTTTTTGAGATTTTTATTTTTATTTTATTTATTATTTTTTTGCTATAGGGCGTGTGCACTCACCAGAAAGACAGAGAGACAAAAAGTGAGAAATCACCCCCAAAGGAGAGACGGACACACCACAATCCCCTTTCCTCTATTATTCCCTCAGGATTTTGTGCACACACGCACACACCCCCGGCATGAGTTTTA